GGAGATCAGTGTGAAGTCTGGCCTCCTTTCCTTGTCACACTGCTCTTTTTCTGGCTGTGCACAGTGTCACAGTTCTGCCCATTTTGGAAATATTCAAGGCCCACAGTTTGAGAGCTGCTATCAGCCACACTGCTCCCCCCTGGGCTGAGTCAGCACTCAGGTCTGCACAAGGAAGGGATCTTATTTTCTTTTTCTCTGGTGGCTATCTCTTTATTTTTCTCCCTTTTCTCTACTGCTTATTCTTTCTCACTCTACTCCTACCCTCCACCAGTTCCCCTTTGCTATCATCATCCTTGGTTCCCGGCAGTCATCCACTCATTCATTTGTTCAACACTGTCTGTTCTATACCCACTCTTTGAGAAGTCCTAGAGCTGCAATAATGAGCAAGGTAAATACGGCATATCTTTATGATGCTTACAGTTTAGTAAGGCAAAGCAATAAGTACACAGGTAACCTTATTCAAAACAACACAAACCAAAAACAGCCATCTATTGAGCATACAGTGGGCATACCTAACTCACACTTGGGAAGTGAGAGAACGCTTCTCAGAGGAAATGTCTATACTGGGACTAAAAGATGTGCTTTCCCATTATGCATGATGATGTGTTTGGTCCTACGGTGGTGCTTTGTGTATTAACTTTTAACATGTGCGAAGTTCATTCTAGGATATCTCTCACTTTTTCTGAAGTAATTTCTGTGGCCTACAATTTTTGGTTAAAATTCTCTCAGATATTGCTAGAACAAGATTAACCATTTTTTTTTTTAGTTTACAATATGAACCCTACATTCTATAGGAAATTATTATTATTATTCTCTCTGCTAAGTGATAAGAACATGCTAGGTGTTTTATATATAGTTCTATTCCTCTTCAAAATCTTGAAAACTGTAGTTATTCCCAGTTTACAAATTCAGAAAGTAAGTCTCAGAAGTCAATAACTTGTTTTAGGATCACATTCTCTTCGGCAGATCCAGAATGCCTGGATTGGTATACAAGTCTATTCCTCAAAGGCTGTATGACTTTGAGGAAGTTACTTAAACGTTCTAAGCCTCAATTTCCTCACTTATAAAATGGGGCTAATAACAGCTACCTCCTAGAACGTGTATTATAGAATTCTATCTAACCATGATAAGTAAAATATTGAAGTAAAAGCTTTTTCCTTTGAAGGTTCTCAGTCTAGAGAAGACACAAAAAATGTAAACCCTGAAAATTCAAATGGATGAATGCCATAGTCTGTCCACAGAGGCCTCATACCTGCAACTGTAAGTGTCCCCATGAGTCCACAAGTACCAAAGAGGAGGGACGGGATGGTGTCTGGCTGATTTCTAGTTACAACCTTAGTACCAGGCATTAATATGAAGGTAGGAATACATAAATAATTAATTCCCCTCTGACTCTAACTTATAGTGACCTTTCATGAAGAATTTAATACCTCTAGGTCCCAGTTTTTAATCAATCAATATTAGAATAATGATGTCTCACTTGATAGTTACATATAGTATATAAAATACTATGAAATATATAATTACTATGCAAATACAAACACAATTCAGATACAAGATGATATACATAATAGAGGCCTTCTGTGTTTCACAGGGTTTTCAACAATTTGCTTCATTTTACTTCAATAAAATCACACTTTGTAATATGATTTGGGCATACATACTATGCTTCTTCTCAAATGTCTAAAATTCAGACCACACTGAGTTACACTTCTGAGTCATAAGATTATTCTGTATTCATGATGATTTAACTCAGGTGACAGCACAATTTATTTGGAATGATGTTTAACTCAACCAGAAAATGTGAGCATGACTGGGGACCACACTGGTCCAGCTTCAATCCTGGGATCAGTTGGAGGTAGAGGCTCTTTGTATTGATATATTTATAAAGCTCTCTCTGAAATCTGGGGAAAAGTATATAGTTTAAAGGATTTGGGTAAAGAATGATGGAATCTACAGTGGAGAACATGCAATGCAGTAATTCAGTGTGGGAAGGGAGGCTACGTGAGCCTCTTCTCATTTTCCAGCTTTGACTTCACCATATATATGGTATAATATAACCATAAAGATCAAGGGATTCCCCTACTAGTATTTCTGTCTACCTCTCCTTTTAGGTCTGTTTATATTTGCTTTATATATTTAGGAGCTCCTGTGTTGGGTGCACAAATATTTACATATGTTATATCCTCTTGTTGGATTGACTCCTTTGTCATTATGTAATGCCCTTCTTTGTCACTTGCTACAGTACTTTTTCAAAAGTCTATTTTGTCAGATAAAAGTCCAGCTAGTCCAGCTTCCTTTTGGTTTCCATTTGCATGAAGTAATCAAAAACCTCCTAACAAATAGAAGTCCAGGACCAGATGGTTTCACCGGTGAACTCTACCAAATAGTCAAAGAAGAATTAATACCAATCCTTCCCAAACTCTTCCTAAAAATAGAAAAAGGGAAACCCTTCCAAACACATTTTATAAGGCCAGCATTATCCTGATACCCAAAACAAGACAAGTACACCCTCTCAAAAGAAAATTATAGACCATTATCCCTGATGAAAGTAAATGTAAAAAAATCTCAACAAAATATTAGCAAACCAAATTCAACAATACATTTAAAGGATCATGCACTGTAATCAAGTAGGATCTATTTGAGGGATCCCAGGATGGTTCAACATCTGCAAATCAGCCAATCACACACCACTTCATTAACAAAATGAGGGAAAAAGACATATGTCATCTCAATAGATATAGAAAAAGCATTTGACAAAATTCAACATCCATTTATGATAAAAGCTCTCAGTAAAGTGTGTATGGAGGAACATATTTCAACATAATAAAGGCCACATATAACAAGTCCACAGCTAACACAATACTCAATGATGATGAGCTGAAAGCTATTTCTCTAAGATCAGGAACAAGAAAAAGATGTTTACTCTTACCATTTTTATTCAACATAGTACTGGAAGTCTTAGCCAGAGTAATTTGGCAAGAGAAAGAAATAAAAGATGCACAAATTGGAAAGGAGTAAGTAAAACTCACTATTTCTGGGGATGATATAATATTATATATATATAATCTGAAAGACTACCAAACAAAACATAAGAACTGATAAACAAATTCAAAAGGTATAGGATACAAGATCAATACACAGATAGCTATTATATTCTTTATACAGAAAGAAAAATAAAACAATCCCATTCACAACTGCATCTAAAAGAACAAATTACACAGGCATAAATTTTACCAAGGAGATGAAAGATCTGAACACTGAAAACAATAAAACATCAATAAAAGAAACTGAAGAAGACACAAATAAATGGAAAAACATTCCATGCTCATGGATTAGAAGAATATTGTTAAAATGTCTATACTATCCAATGCAAAATACAGACTAAATGCAATTCCTATCAAAATTCCAATGGTATATTTAACAGAAATAGAATGAACAATTCCAAAATTTGTATAGAGCCATAAAAAACCCCAAATACTAAAGCAATCTTGAGAAAGAACAAAGCCAGATGCGTCAGGCTCCCTGATTTCAAACTGTATTACAAAACTAAGTAAATACATTATCGGTATAAAAATAGACACAGAGATCAATGGAACATAAGAGCCCAGGAACAAACCCACACATAAGCTATCAATTAACTTTCAATAAAGGAAGCAAGAATATATAGTAGAGAAAGGACAGTCTCTTCAATAAATAGTGCTGGGAAAACTATACAGTCACATGTAAAATAATGAGCCTGGATGACTCTCTTACACCAGGTATAAAAATTAACTCAAAATGGGTTAAGACTTGACTGTAAGAGGTGAAACTCGTAGAAGAAAAAAAAGGCAGCACTTCACATCAGTGTTGGCAATGATTTGTTGAATTTGATAACAAAAACAAAAGCAACAAAAGCAAAAATCAACTGAAAAGCTTCTGCACAGCAAAGGAAATCATCAGTCAAATGAAAAGTCAAACTATTGAATGGGATGAAGTAATTGCAGGTCATCTAATAAGGGGCTAATATCCAAAATATACAAAGTGCTCATATAATTAATTTAATAGTAGAAACAAAACAATACAATTAAAAAACAGGCAGAAGATCTGAATAGACATTTTTACAAAGTCAACAGGGGCATGAAAAGGTATTATTAATTATCATTAATTATCAGGGAAATGCAAGTCAAAACCACAATGACACATCACTTCACACCAGTTAGAATGGCTACTACCAAAAGACAAGAAGTAACAGGTGTTGGAAGGACATGGAGAAAAGGGAACCTTTGTGTACTATTGGTGATAATGTAAATTTGTGCAGCCACTATGGAAAACGGTATGGAGGCCCCTTAAAAATTAAAAAATAGAACAGTGTGATAATGTAATTCCACTTGCGTGTATTCAGCCAAAGAAAATGAAAACTGTAACTCAGGAAGACACGTACATTCCCATGTTAGCTGCAACATAGATATGGAAAAAACTTACATGTCCACTGAAAGATGAATGGATAAAGAAACTGTGGTACACACACACACACACACACACACACACACATATACACTCAGGAATATTATTCAACCATAAAAAAGAATGAAATTTGCTCTTTGTGTCAATGTGGGTGGATTGAGCATTTTGATAAGTAAACCAAACAGATAAAGACAGATCTGTAAGATTTCTCTTATATGTAGAATAAAAAAAAAGCAAGCTCATAGATATAAAAAACAGATTGGTGGTTATAAAAGGCAGCACAGAATGGTTAGAGGATGGGAGAAATGTATGATTATTTTTTTTTAGTTTAAATAAATTGAATAAATTTTTTAGAAAGAATTACAAATAGTATTAATTAGCAATAGTATAAAGAAAAACAAAAGAACATGGAATTGCAGTGGCTTAACAGGAGACCAAAATAAATAACCTAATTTTAAAAAGCACATTTTCAGATAACTATAATCTATAGTTCTGTATATGTGTATGGCCTACTATAAACCATAGCTGTTTACGGAGATCTAAAATAGTCTTACCTGTGGCTGTGTAGTTATTTCCATTGCCTGAATAGATCAACATCCCATCCATATATAAAGAGTACTGAGTTATAATACCATTTGCTTTTCTGGGTAGATTCCAGGAGAGTGACAAAGAATTGGGAAGGGATTTGGCTACTGGAGGCTGAACCTCTTGTGGCACTGTGGAGAAAAAGATTTATAGAGTCTAATTTTAGTTTACTTTTCTAATTCAAACTTTCCAGACCGAAACTAATAAATCATGGAATAAACCTGAAATCCCTTGCATAGAAATGTTCCTGATTCGTGGGCAGCTTGTCAGTAATTGCTTCAGGAACAGTACTAAATAACTGTCCTGAATTTATGAGAATCTGCGTCAATGATGGATGGCGAGTATTTACACTAGCACACTTGACTGATGGTTGTGTTACTTCATCAAAGGTGTTATTAACCCATAATCTCTACTTGGGGCTGTCCTTGTTAAAACAAATTAAACAGAGTCCCCCCCCTCGAGGAGCTTTTGATCTAAGATGGGCAATGCTGGGGAGAGTGGTTCACAACACATATCAAAGATGACACGTAACTATAGAAATAGCCAGGAAGTACAGAATCAGTTTCATTAATTACATATGTAAAGTTGAATGTAAGTTTTTGACTGTTTTGTTTTTGTAGTTTTTACAAAAATAAGGTTCTATTCATTTCCTTGAATGGTCAAAGAATTGGAGTCTTAGGAACCAAATGTTTTAAAAAACTGACCCTAAACACATCTATTGGTCAATAAATTGGCAGCAGCCTTAGAAGGTTGGGGATTCCTTAAATAATAAAAAGGAAATGGTGAACAGGATGTGGAGGAATCCATCTGGGGTTCCACTATGACATAGATTTCAAGGGTACTAGGCAAGAACCTGGGCAGAGGATGCAACAGACGTAGGGAAAATAAAGAGAAAAGGACAACACAGCCCATACTGAGGCTGGGAGAAGTATATGTAAAAGGCGATGATGCTCATGTGCCTCGGCAGAAGCAATGACACATTTGGAAAAACAGTGCTGTTCTGGGTAAACTAGATGGAGAGAACATTGAGAAAACACTGGAGGTGGGTCATAGACATTGTGATCCAGGCGTGGGGAGTCTGGTTAGTTCAAGTGCAAAGCACAACGAAGAAAAGGTCACAAGAAGAACTTTACAAATTCCTGTATCTTATCACGGGTCCATCATGTGGGCCCTTCCTTGTCTTTCTCCTACATGACTTCTGTGCAAGTAGGTGGATGCTGAGAAAGAGACTGGCTGACTCTTTCCTCTAAAAATCAAGTCTTTAAATCTCCTAAATAACTACACAAGTTGACAGTAAAGTAAATGTGTAATTCTTCTCATCCAGGAGAGAGAAATACGATGTAACAATGCTTCAAACGTTTTGAGAGCTGTTAATTCCTGAAGTGATGCGTCCTGACGCTTGAGCAAAGCTTTCTCTTTGGAGTGCTAAAATATTTCCCCTTTCTCGTGGCCTTCCTAACATATGCTTTCTGAAACAGTAATTTATGCCAACAGTTTGTAAGTCCCAAGTACAACAAAAGTGAGACTTAAGTCAGAAGCAACCAAGCAGTGATTAATAATGCCTCAATTGGCATTTGGAGGTTCCATCATACTGAAATAATTGTTGCCTGTGCTGGTGTTTAGCAGTTAAAAGAGACCATGGAAATCAACCGTTTGATTCTCAATTTCATACTGTGCCATACAATCAATTCTTTTTAGTCAGACTGTCTCTAGATTTACTTCTGAGCCCTAGTAAAATGAGGAAGCTTTCATTAATCTTTCAGATGCTTCATATTAATGACAAGGCTCTTGCATGAACAATGTAACAGCAATTAAAAAGCCCATTAATCTGCATTACAGCTATTAAAGATGCATGTCATTAAAGGGTATGGAGTTTGATTCATTTTCTCACCCCCCCAAAAAATGGAGCAATTATGGCCTGGCAATGCACTCTGTCATCAAATTAGGTTGGGGTTTTCCAGCAAATGGCCTTGCAGCATTTAGCTCTTCTCCTATTTTATTATTCATAACTGAAATGTGGAAGTCAAGACCTTTGAAATTACTTTACCTTCTTGTGGAGTAGAGATGTTCAATGCATGTGGGCTCTCAGTACAGCCAGCCAAAGTGCAAGCAGTTAGGGTTACTGCATAGTTTTTGAAAGGTAGTAAGCCTGTCAATATGCCTATAATAAAAGGGGAACAAAAGAGGTTTGCATATTTACCACAAACAGCTATAAAGAGCATTGTGGGGTGGGTGTGTGAGAGAGAGACAGAAAGACATGTAGAGACACGAACACAGAGAGATAGAAAGCAAAAATATATTCCTCTTTAATTCATTTTCCTGCCCATGTACTGATTACAGGATGGAGTGACTAGAGAGGAAAAAATCGTGAGAACGGCTTATTGTTAAAACAACTCTAAACAGCATTTTCCCAAATGTGTTCCTCAGAACATCAGTGCCCTGAGATGTTTCTCCTGTAAAAATGGGGGTTTCCACATACTGTTTGTGAAGCAGAGCAGAGTATCTGATAGTTAAGATGCATATTATCCCATGCCAGGTTCCTAGACCTCCTACAGAAACAAAACTATTTAATTTTCTTTTCCCTAGCATTTTTCAAGCTTATTTAACTAGAAGAGTCCTTTTTATGTGGCATCTATTAACACACTTTAGGAAATGCTACTCCCAAGAGTGGCTTCATTATTTTAACGGTAGGATACACATATACAAACTATTTGTTCACATTGAAGCTAACAAATATGCAAATAAACACAAACAATTAGCAAATTAGATAATATGCTTTTGTACTTGCAGAATTATTAGTTTATTTAATTAAGACACCTGTCTTAAACAGAAGTGTTGCACATGGAAGAGCTGAATTAACCTGGCTTGGTGGTGGATATATAAGATTTGTTCAGCTATTAAAAGTGCCTGTAGAAATGAAAATGCATTTTATTTGCTGGTGTTCATAATCAAGGCAAAAGCTCTTTATTTAATCCTGTGAATTAAACAGATATGAAAAATAGAATTTGTGTATTTGCTCACTATTGTTTTTTATTGCAGACATTTTTCCAGAGCTATTTTTAATTCTAATCTCATAGATTGTCATCATCCTTACACAGAGATGGTCTCACTCACCTCACGGTTTCTCTTTACTGAGTAAACCTTCAAAAGCTTACAGTATGTCTTACTCTTCGAATGTGCCAATATTGATAACAACCTGCATCGTTCAAACACAAATTTTAATATATGTATTCCTATTTCCCCTCCCTAATAGAACATTTTTAAAAATTAAAAGAGCAAAGATCCAGAATGACTCAAAGACCATAGCCACAGATTGCTTCGGCACCTCCCGTTTGTCCTAAGTACCTCATGATGCCTTCGGGTATTTATTCCAGCATCTCCCAAGCACCACTCTGGGCTACCCACCCCTCCCAAGGCACTTGGCCCCACCATCTGAGTTCATGGCCAGTGAACTAATACACATACACATGTGACCATCTCATGCCTAATACAGCTCTAATTCCAGAACCTCCCTTGTGCCACAGCCTTCTGCATCCCGTCATTCCTGCCACTGTGAGAGTCACTTCTTCTTGAACCTCTCAGACTGTAACCCACCTTCTGAGTTCACTTTCTTGTAAAAAGTTGTTTCTCCTTCTACTAAATGTCTTACACATATTCTCATCATACATATATCTTCAACCTGCAGTGGTGCCGTGGTCCAGAGCACCGGCACTCGGTCTCAGTTGCCTGGGTCCAGATGTCAGTTCTGCTACCGATTAGTTTTGAGCCCGGGCACGCTGACTGGACTCCTGTGCCTCGGTTTCCTCACCTGCGAGCAGACAACATTAGCATCTATTTTGAAGGAGAGGCTTCACAGGCCTCATTGATGAGATGGGGATAATATAGTATTTATGTCGAAGTATTACTATCACAGTTGAGCGTGTTAACACAGCTATGTAAGGAGAGGGCTCCAGCACCAAGCTATGCCAGTTCCAGCTATGTTCCTACTGAAATCCAGTTTGTTTGCACTATGCTACCAAATACAGATTTTTATCTTTTAAAGATCACTACTAATCCCTTAAGTACCAGATCAAGTAACTTTTCTCAATCTTTATCCTCTTCTACTTATTGGCCTTTGCTCCCCTCTGGCATTGAATTTTCCCAAATATTCTCCTGAATGACTGAGAGCTCCCTTCTTCCTGGACCAATTTATCTTCCTTTCTGTCCCTTAAATAGCTTTGGTTTTACAAAAGGCTGGGTCTTCAAGGCCTCTTCTTGGAAACCCCTGCCTTTGTTAGCTCCTCAAGCCCCATCTCTCAGTGATCACATTTATACCTGCAGATTTCACGCAGTCTTTTCCAAGCTCTGGTTCTGCATTTCTGCCGGAAGGTCATACATCCCACTAGCATTTTACTCTCAACATGCTCCAGTCCAAACTCTACATCCGAAACTGTTTTGTAAGCTTCATTTCCCCATTTCTTAATGCCTCCAGATTGCTTCTGAAAGTCCAGGCTCAAAACAAAGGTAGCATTGTAAAGTATGTTCTAGCCATTCTGTCCTTTGAAGATCTTTGGCATTTGTTGCTCTTTCCTATTACCTGACTTGAATCTACTGCAAGAGTCTAAAGAAAACAAGTTGCATGTCTGAATCAGTGCAATGCCACACTCTCCGGAAATGAATCAGCCCCCAGAGAATGAAACTTTTAAACCTGCAGTGAGCAAGAAAATGTAATTGTTCATCACTTAACCTATGTGGTATATGTGGAAAACATTGTTTCTTATGTATGGGCGTGACTTAGCTGTGGCACACGGGACTGTTGTGTCCAAAACGACACAGTGGTTGTATACAGATTGGCACTCTGAAATCTTTAGTATGAAGCTGTCTCATACATCCAGATATTATCACTGAGAAATGTTATAAAAGAAGTTCTATTATTTTGCAGCTTTGAAGGCTGGCCTAACAAAATACGTGAGACATTATTTCTTTGCAAATCATAGTGAAGCGCAATGCTGGAACCACAACTATTACATCAACACAGCAGGAAAGGGATTCATACAGATTTTAAGGAAGATCAGGTCAAACCAGATACTGAATTCACATTCACGAAATGATTTTTCAGTGTTTCATTTAAGCTTTCTTGCCTTCACTAAAGGAGTTACTTTGTGTGGATATGTGTATCAAGAAATCCCTACGCTATTTTTGCCTACAACCCTTAAAAAAAGGGAATACTTCTCTCATCAAATTTGCTTTTTCGGCTTTGTGCTTTGGTAGAGAAGTTTACCAAATTGTATTTCATAGAAAAATCCTGAGATTCTTAAAGAAAGATGCTGGAGAGAAACTAGATCATCTTTCAGGCCATTTATCAAAGTGCTCATTTCCCATGTCAAGGCGGGTGAAACAATAATAAACACTGAGAAATGAGAGCTGCAAAACAGGAAACAGAAAGAAGAAGAAAGCTGATGTGTTGGTCCTTCCCAGCTTTGAATCCCAGGTGGGAATTTTCAGATGACTTGTAAATCACACTTTGACAAAACGTGCTGTGCTTTCTGAGGCAATGGTGACATTTCTTCCCTTTTTTCCACGGGGATCTTGCCCTAACGTTGTGTCTCAGAGGCAAAAGCTTGTCAAGCCATCAGAAGAATTTTCCCTAAATACAGGGGAGTGGTACCTGCTTCCGTAAGAAGAGTAGTCTAAGGACTTGGCGTCTTCTCTCCTCCAGGCAGATCACATGAGTGGTGACGGGGCTGCTCATCTGAGTGGTGCTTACTAAATCAGCATAACGACCAAGACATCCTATTGTCTGGGGCATGTGGCTTTTCTCTTTTGTCTCTCAGTATGGAGAGTTTTTAGAACATTTTTAAAAATTAAAAGAGCAAAGATCCAGAATGACTCAAAGACCATAGCCACAGATTGCTTCGGCACCTCCCGTTTGTCCTAAGTACCTCATGATGCCTTCGGGTATTTATTCCAGCATCTCCCAAGCACCACTCTGGGCTACCCACCCCTCCTGCGGCACTTGGCCCCACCATCTGAGTTCATGGCCAGTGAACTAATACACATACACATGTGACCATCTCATGCCTAATACAGCTCTAATTCCAGAACCTCCCTTGTGCCACAGCCTTCTGCATCCCGTCATTCCTGCCACTGTGAGAGTCACTTCTTCTTGAACCTCTCAGACTGTAACCCACCTTCTGAGTTCACTTTCTTGTAAAAAGTTGTTTCTCCTTCTACTAAATGTCTTACACATATTCTCATCATACATATATCTTCAACCTGCAGTGGTGCCGTGGTCCAGAGCACCGGCACTCGGTCTCAGTTGCCTGGGTCCAGATGTCAGTTCTGCTACCGATTAGTTTTGAGCCCGGGCACGCTGACTGGACTCCAGTGCCTCGGTTTCCTCACCTGCGAGCGGACAACATTAGCATCTATTTTGAAGGAGAGGCTTCACAGGCCTCATTGATGAGATGGGGATAATATAGTATTTATGTTGAAGTATTACTATCACAGTTGAGCATGTTAACACAGCTATGTAAGGAGAGGGCTCCAGCACCAAGCTATGCCAGTTCCAGCTATGTTCCTACTGAAATCCAGTTTGTTTGCACTATGCTACCAAATACAGATTTTTATCTTTTAAAGATCACTACTAATCCCTTAAGTACCAGATCAAGTAACTTTTCTCAATCTTTATCCTCTTCTACTTATTGGCCTTTGCTCCCCTCTGGCATTGAATTTTCCCAAATATTCTCCTGAATGACTGAGAGCTCCCTTCTTCCTGGACCAATTTATCTTCCTTTCTGTCCCTTAAATAGCTTTGGTTTTACAAAAGGCTGGGTCTTCAAGGCCTCTTCTTGGAAACTCCTGCCTTTGTTAGCTCCTCAAGCCCCATCTCTCAGTGATCACATTTATACCTGCAGATTTCACGCAGTCTTTTCCAAGCTCTGGTTCTGCATTTCTGCCGGAAGGTCATACATCCCACTAGCATTTTACTCTCAACATGCTCCAGTCCAAACTCTACATCCGAAACTGTTTTGTAAGCTTCATTTCCCCATTTCTTAACGCCTCCAGATTGCTTCTGAAAGTCCAGGCTCAAAGCAAAGGTAGCATTGTAAAGTATGTTCTAGCCATTCTGTCCTTTGAAGATCTTTGGCATTTGTTGCTCTTTCCTATTACCTGACTTGA